TGTGTGTGTGTGTGTGTGTGTGTGTGTGTGTGTGTGTGTGAGTGTGTGTGTGTGTGTGTGTGTGTGTGTGTTAGACGGGCTGCTGCTATTTTCTACCCTGTTAATAATTTATTAAATCCTGTTACACTCTACACTTTGAGCTCACAACTTTTCCAAGATCAGGGTTTCTGCCATCTTAAAAAAGTCTTAATTCACCCTTCCACAAATGAAGGCCTTAAAAGGACTTAAAGGGACAGTTCAGCCAAAAATAATAATTCTGTCATTTATTCACACTCTTGTTGTTCCAAACCTGTATGAGTTTCTTTCTTCTGTTGAACATAAAAGAACATACGGTAGCCATTGACTCCATAATATGGAAAGTCAATGGGTACCGTCAGCTGAGACAAGCTTTTGTGTTCAGCAGAAGAAAGAAACTTGTACAGGTTTGGAATAACATGAGGGTGAGTAAATGATGATAATTTTCATTTTTGAGTGTACTATCCCTTTAATTCAGAGCGGAAAGTCTTAGGGCCAGTTTTAATAACAAATTGCACCAGCACAAACCATCTTTTGGCATTAAAATAGTACTGTCAGGATTTACTAAAGATGCGCAGTAAAGAATTAGCACTAAAAAGGCATGGACACAGTAATCTTATTGAATATGCATTTGAAGGGGCCATTATTTAACGCCCCCCAAAAAAGCATGTCTTAAACTATTTTGCTCTTGAAATGGCTGCAGTTGTTGCTGCTAGGAGAGGCACCGCAGAGAACAGAGAGCGCGTGGTAGAAGGGAGAGGATTTTGTCCACACGTATTAATTTATTTGGAATGCCAGAAAAACACATTATTATATATACTGTATATAGACGACTTGGAACCCTCAACTAGGAGTGACGCAATAAATACCAGCTCTATCAAAACTTCTAGCAAACCTTCATTTTTTGGCCTCCGGTTCTTTTCAGTGTACTGTGGCTTCTTTATTCTTTATTTGCGGCTGTGCTAATTTGCGCTGCGCTTGGTATATTGCGTTGGTTGATATGTAAATGAGATGTTGCGTCTGTGTTCTTTAATTTGCGTGTTGTTAGCAGGAATTTTCCACACCATCGGCGCTGTTTGGGAATTGAGCTCTCACGCTAATTTGCCCTGTTCAGTAAAACTAGCTCTTAATTTCATAAAGTCGTGGGATTAAATGTCGCATGAACTGAAAAAAAAGAATATCATCCTCCATATATTTGTCTTGTTTTCCAATACAAATATCTGAACATCCTTATATCAAGATACTTGAGATGCAAACTTAACATACGAAATCTTGTTTTCTGGAAAAAAAATTTGATTAAAACAAGATTAAAGGTCTGCCAATGGGGTATGAAAACTTGTTTTCTTTTTGAATTAGGTTCATTTTTATGATCTCATTTTGATGAAAACAAGACTTCTTATGTAATTTAGCTTCTCCAGTGAATGTATTTTAATTTAAGAATCTTTAGACATTTGCACTGGAAAACAAGACATTGCATTTTTTTCATTTTGGTATTTATTTTATTTTTTTAAATGTAAGCAACACTTTTCCTAATATCATACAGATTTCTCTAATTTGTGAAACAAAGTGAAAAGTGAAACAAACCAACTAGTACACATTGATATTACGTACTGATGTTTGTGCTGCTGTTTTTCACCAAAATAATGTCAGTTCCTGGAGGATGATGTCCTATTTTTTTCTTTATTATTTATTATTTAATTTTTTTATTAAACATGAGGGCATGGCCTACCTGTTTTAAACTCTGATGTTGAGCATAATAATTAGCTCTTGTTCAGGTGATTGTTCAAGTTTAGTCACAGGGCACTGACTGAGTCTCTTTTGATGCTGGGTTGGAAAACACGCTAGTTTTAGCTGCATCTTCTGCTCTATCATCTTTCATCTCATTTTTTTTTTCAAGGAAATGACATAAAACAGTCTATATTTGTAATTATTCTGCAATGTCTTTTATTATTCTTTAACACCGTTTTTTTTGGTTTGCCATAAAGTGTGAGTCTTTAAGGAGTTCTTTGTTAAGAAGGCGGCGTTTCTTGGGCTATTTTTTCCACCTTCCTGATTTACGTACGTACCACCTGCGTGCAACTTTTGTCAGCAGGTTTTTGTCACAGTTACTGTATGGACATTTTTCCATGCCAATGGAAACTGGCCATCTGTGTGTTCACTCAAGCATGTGAGAATATGAGACAGGAAGAAAAGAGAGAAATAAGATAAGTATTAAAACTGTGGATATAATCATTTATG